AATGTAAAAAGAAAAGTGGCTTAAGGGGAGGTTTATGCAAGCCTTAAACTTTAAATGAAGGATTGTTTATTTTATTTTGCAGGCCATGAGGAACCAATGAAGGATGTTGAGCATGAGAATAATGTGTGCAGGACATTGTTTTGTAAGATTCATGTGCAAGATAGATTGAAGAAGAGAAGTGCCAACAGGTAGAGAGACCAATTGGGAGTCTATTACAATATTCTATATATTATATTACATACATATACTATAATATATATAGTGTATATAAATACTTTTAAAAAGTTAGTTACTGTATTCCTAATTTCCTTCCTCCCTTATTTCATTTTTAATCTATTTTCTTCCAAAAAGAATTGAAAATGCTTATACCTCATCATCTAACTTCTATATTATTCTTTTCTCCCTAGTTGTTTGGCCTGTTTGATATTTTAACACAAACAATCCAGTTAGAAAGATAAACTAATATTGTCTCTGAAAAAAATAGTTCCTTTTTATCATTTTTTTTTACTACTTTCACTATACCCCTTTCTTTGATCTATGCTTTTCAAGGACCATTTATCACATACTTGAGTTTAAAGGTTAAGATTTTTAGCCTGTGAGTGAGAATCTGAACAGGAACAGGATCACATTTTTTAAAAGAAAGATTTGGAATTTTTTATGGAACTTAACATTTATGACTACACATGAACTAGTGAAGACCTTGACTAGGGAAGTGACCATGAAAATGGAGAGGAAGTGACACATTTGACTATACTTGTGGACTAAGAGGATTTATAAAATACAGGAAAGCAATGATTACTTTTGAAACTGGAAGATTAGGAGAAAAATGTCAACTATGTAAAAAAGGCATTTCATAGAAGTTTTATTTTATATGTAAATAAATGGGATTTGGCTTCATAGTGGATATCAGAGTGGCAATATCCAAGCAACAGACCTGGAGCTCAGAAAGGAAATTAATAGTGACCTATAGATTAGAGAATCATTTCTATAAAGGCTGGTGAATTTTCTGAGGACATAGAGAGTTAAAAGACAGCATATCTATAAGGAAATGCTCCTTACTATTTCAAAATCTGTAGCAAAATTATTCCCCTGGTGTTTGAATTGGCACATAGTCATTCTGATAATGGTGGAATTTGTGTAATAGTTTAGTTTTTTATGTGAAAGCTGACACTAAGATAAGTAGTTGCATGCATCATGCATCATTGCAGTTCTACTGACACATATCTGTCCAGTAAAACCAGAATTTTGAAACAATAATGAAATAGTTTAATGTGTGTCATATGCTTCCAAAGCTCTTTTTTTTTATAAATGAGGTCAGTATAAGTGTAATTAGATTAACTCACTCCAATATACTTATCTCACTGTAACACAAAATATAGATTCAAGAAGATCAGCTACTCTTATTCATTAAATAACATCAAATCCAATTGTGTAATGTTATAGATAGGCTTCAAAATAATTGGAAAACCATAGGCAAAATTATTTCTTAATGTACACACAAATGCCCGACAACAAAAAAAGCCTTGATTTACTATAACACAATTACAAAATTACCTTGTTGGACATATTTTTTGTACTTCATTGTAACTTAATGTAAATAGTAAGACATCTATCTTTTCCAAAATATAAATGCATTGAAATCCATGATTACTCTTTATTTCTTTTTTAAAACAAAGTTTAGTGGTATTATTTATCACATACTTAATTTGAGCTGTGAGAACTTTAATGTGAGAGTATATTCTTAAACAGAATTATGGCTTGGCTCCTTTCAAGAGAAAAATTTATAAGTTTTCCCATGGGGCTTATATTTTATATATCTAATTTCAATGTACTGTAGAGGACCATTTTTCCATTTTAATAAAAAAAATCATTACAGAGCTACAGTTAAGTATAACTGAAAAATTATCACATTATCACTGTAAATAGTTTAGGAAGTTAGACTCAATAGTAGGGATAAAGATCTACTATGTTAATATTTAGGAAACTAGATAATATATCATTAACAATGACACTAATCAAGGGGAATGGGGATCTATCTTGTACTAGAAAGGTCTTCTTGCCTAGCCTTGATTTAACTGTACTTTGTGCATAAGCAGTAACCTCATTTGGGTCATGAATGTGAATCAAGAGAGTAGAAAATACCACATTTGACCTTGCCATAATGGCAAAACTTTAGATATTCAATATTGTATTGCTTATTGAATGTGCTAATTTCACTTGGAGATAATATAACTGCCTTCATCTTAAAAAAACATAAATGAATAATGAATTATATCAAAAACAAGCATTTGAATCATATTTTAGATTTTAATGGCCTTAAATTGAGTTAAATAGAGGCAATGTGAGTAAATTACACTGACAAAGAGTAAATTTATTATGAGATTTAACTACATTCTGTTACAAATTGTGCCTGGAGAATTTTATAGTCTTGTTTTCAAGGAGGTAGAATTAATAGGAATTACATCAGGAATACCAGGCATTATGAGGTTGAGGAATCTCAAATTACTGTTATGACTCATCTCTGCTACCTAGCAATGATCAGATGTTCAAGTAAAGAGACCATTAAGTATCAATTAAGAGTTATAGTTGATAGAACTTAACATGAACAGTAAGGAGTTTCTCAAGATGCTAATGCCCCTTTTGATTTTATAAAAGTTTCAAAAAGAAGTAGGTTTGAAAAAAAATAATTTTCATGAACTACATGTGGTTCAAACTATGTCTCTATTGTCCTGTGTAGTCTTGGGAGCTAGACTCAGAGCAGGACTGTTGAGCTTGAATAGCTCTGTTGGAAGCCAAACAGGAAAGTCACACATCAAAAATGATTTTAAATATCAGCTCGAAAGGAGGAAAGTGGTGGGACCAAGAGAAAAGCCAGCAGGAAGCAGATGTGCTTAACCCATGGTTAATCCTGCCTTGAAAACAAATGCAACCTTTTGAGAGGTTCGTGGAGAGGTTCAAGCAGAGTTGAATTAATTCATTCAGAAAAGTTGATTATCAGATTCTGCATCAAGTAGATGTGGACATGGATTACATATAAATCACATGTAATGCAAAGATCGTATAATTATTTGTATTGTATTTAATGTATTTATATAAAAATAATATAATTATATTTCTTATAATTATTATATGTATATACATTCCTATATATGGATGTAGATATATATCCACACAGAGACATTGTGTAGTATATTAAGTTCTGTTTTAAAATGTAACTTTAACTGAAGGCCCTATTTCATCTTATTTAAATTTTTTTCATTTATTTATTTATTTATTTTTTTTTTTTAGAGAGAAAGAGGAAGGGAGAGAGAGACACACACAGAGAGAAATAGCTATTTGTTGTTCCACTTTATGCATTCATTGGTTGATTCTTGTATGTGCCCTAACAGGGATCGAACCCACAACCTTGGTATATCAGGATGATACTCACCAGGGCTTCATCATATTTAAATAGTTGCACTTCTCTAGCACACCCATTACATCTTAGAAACGTCATCTGAGTCATTACTGATCTTCCCAACAGTCTTATAAAGTATATATTATTCCATTTTACAGATGAAAGCCTTAGAAAAAATAACTGAGGTCTCATAGCTACCAACACATATGGGTCATGAAGTCTGTCTGTTTCACTACAAAGGCTGTTTTCTTTCCATTTCATTTCTTGTTTCCTTGATAGCATATATGTAAGAGTCATAAAATGATATGATTTCCTTTTCAAATTTTTTTGTATTATGTTTTTGTAAACATGCTTAAGTGCAACATATCTAATTTCATTATACATATATGGATTAAGAATTACAAATTCAAAGAACTTTAGAGTTTTGCTATAACATGGAATTTTAACAAATGGATTGACCTAACACTGTCATATGCACTGAATGAAGAAATCAAGAAATTTTCCTGGGTTCAGGAGTCTTGGCTGAGATTTGGTATCACCATACCAAAATGATTCTTCCACTTCTAGCAATAAATTTTCCTTTTCAGACTCCAAACAGATCTTTTCACTAAATTCATTCTTTTGAGATTAGTAGATATATAATAAACATTTAATAAAATGTTTAAAGCTTATTTCAAAATGTGCTTTCAGAAATCTATTCAATTTACAATATCTTATATGTCCGCTTATAGTTTCTTGCACCTAAGTTTAAAATCCATTGCTTATACTCTTTGTAATACCTTAAACAATAAAACAAAATTTAAAAAAATCCATTGCTTATGATTACTAATATAGTGTAATTTATAAAAAAGATGTCAGCAAATCTCATTAGCCAATAGCTATGCTGAAATCTTAGCATATTATCATGTGTTGGAATATTGTTTTGTATACTAGAAAAGGCCTTGTATCTCCCACAAGCACAAGTAATTTCTGATAGAATCTGTAGTTTTTATATATTTAATTTGATAGCTTTAAAACCCTGCTTATTTAAACAAAAATACAGTCTCATCTAATTCTTTTTTTTTACTGTCAAATAATTTATTTTATATTTTAGATGGAAAATTTTGGTAGTAAAATTTCTTCTCTCTTTTCCCTAAGAATTCACTGCTTTTATTGGTGATGAGAATCACACTTCATTCATACCACTTTTGTTTCCCTTCTCTGTCAGCATTTCCTGTTCTACTACTTCCTTGAGCACTTTCAAGCTTAATTTTCTATCTTGTCATCTTTGTTTCTGTACCAATGCAGACATTTTATAAGACCCTTTTCTTCAATTTATCTACTTTCTTCACTTGGTAATGCATTATTTTCCTTAAAGATTTCCTTGAAATTAAAATATTTATCGGTCAAATTTATTGTCATTATTCAGACTGTCCTTCTAGATGGAACTGACTCAAGGCCAGATGTTTCCATTTCAAAATTTGTCTGTACCTCCTTGTTTCTATAGTTAACCTGTGAGCTGTAATCTCTCACTGTACCTTGGCAACCTGTCCCCTTCCACCATTCTCAATCACTCCAACTAAATTAAGGCCTAATTTGATGTTATTATTTATCTTGCTAACTCTTTAAGATGCCCACATCCTTCCTTCTTAAGGCACAGACCAAATGCCATGCTCTTCAAGAAGTTTTGGTTAAATCTGACCTTCTTCAGAGCAGATAGTACAAAATTTGGTCTATAATTTGCATTCTGTACACTTTTGCAATCCAGCAATTATGTATTACTGAGAACCAGCCGGTCTTCCTGCATCCTCTTCCCACCTCAAACTGTCAGTTTGTTTCTTCTGTGTGAAATTTGATGTCTGTCTCCATCTAAGGCTAATCTACATGTGCTTCTGGATCTTCAGGTGTTCCAAAACATGTCTCAAATGTTTTGATGTTTCTCTCACAAAAGTTACCTTCCCCTTGAATTTGTGCAGTCTTAGTGACACATTGCTAATGTGTTGAATGAAAAGGAGAATTTCAATCCAGGGTGGCTCAGTTGGTTGGAGTGTGTCCCAGGCACCAAAGAATCACAAGTTCTATTCCTGGTCAGGGCACATAACTTGGTTGCAGGTTTGATCCCCAATTGGGGCATGTGCAAGAAATAACTGATGGATATTTCTCTCTCTCATCCAGGCTTTGCTCTCTCTCTCCCTCTCCCTTCCTCTCTCTCTAAAGAAAAAAAAATCAATGAAAACATTTCCAGGAAAGGATTTTTTCCCCTTTAATCTTTATTGCTGAAAATATTACATAGATCCTCCTTTTCCCCCCATTAACCTCTTCCAGCCAGCTCCCATCCTCCCACCCCACCAGGCCTTCTCACCCCATTGGCTGTGTCTATGGTATATGCAGATATGCATACAAATTCATTGGTTGATCTCTTCCCATCTACCCTCCCTTGCCTTCCCTCTGAGGTTCAGTAGTCTGTTCATGTTTCTATGTCTCTGGATCTATTTTTGTTCATCAGTTTATGATGTTCATTATATTACACAAATGAGTGAGATCATGTGATACTTACCTTTCTCTGACTGTCTTATTTTGCTTAGCATAATGCTCTCCAGGTCCATCCATGCTGTTAAAAATGATAAGAGTTTTTTCTTTTTTACAGCAGGGTAGTATTCCATTGTATACTAGTAAATGTACCACAAGTTTTTAATCCACTCATCTGCTGATGGGCACGTAGGCTGTTTCCACGTCTTAGCTACTGTAAATTGCACTGCTCTGAACACAGAGGTGCATATATTCTTCCTGATGAGTGTTTCAGGTTTTTTAGGATAGATTCCTAGAAGTGGGATCACTGAGTCAAATGGGAGTTCCATTTTTAATTTCTTGAGGAAACTCCATACTGTTTTTCATAGTGGCTGCACCAGTCTACATTCCCACCAGAAGCGTACTAGGGTTCCCTTTTCTCCACAACCTTGCTAACACTTGTCATTGGTTGATTTGTTGATAATAGCCATTCTGACAGGTGTGAGGTAATATCTCAATGTCATTTTTATTTGCATCTCTCGGATGATTAGTGACTTTGAGCATTTTTTTTCATATGTCTCTTGGCCATATGTATGACCCCTTTAGAAAAGTGTCTATTTAGGTCTTTTGTCCATTTTTTAATTGGATTGTTTGTCTCCCTTTTGTTAAGTTGTATGAGTACATCACTCATACTGGCTTAGGGCCTAACATTATGACCTCATTTTTAAAATCTTAATTACCTTTTAAATGCCCTGTCTCCAAATATAGTCAAATGCTAAGTACGGAGAGTTAAGTCTTCAACCGTTGAATTTTGGAGGGACACAATTCAGCCCATAATAGGTGTACTGTGTTCCTTTGAAAGTGAAGTCAAACTGTGTTGAAATAGACACTGAACAGAATATATTAGCCAAGTTATAATAGCAAAATGTGTACCAATTGCTGATTAGATGGAATTAGTGATTTTAATTATATTGCATATGAGGCATATCTCTTTATCCTCCATTTTATATTCAGTAATTCTGAGATTACAGGGAATACCTTGTTTAAATTTATTAGAAACCCCATATATAAGTGTAATTTGGGCAACAGTATTGATTAAGATGTTCAAAAACCAATCAGTACCTGATTTTATATATAAACTGGAGGCCCAATGCACAGTGGCTTGTATATATAAACTGGAGGCCCAATGCACAGTGGCTTGCCTCAGAACTCACAGCCCTGGCTTTGTCTGGAAGGTCGTCAGGAAGGATGTCCAGAAGAATGTCCAGAAATTCGTTTGGTTGTCAGGTCTAATTAGCATATTACACTTTTATTATTATAGATATATTTTTATTGATTTCAGAGAGGAAGGGAGAGGGAGAGAGAGACAGAAACATCAATGATGAGAGAGAATCATTGATTGGCTGCCTCCTGCATGCCCCCTACTGGGGATCAAGCCCGCAACCCAAGCATGTGCCCTTGACCAGAATGGAACCCAGGACCCTTCAGTCTATAGGCGAATGCTCTATCCACTGAGCTATACTAGCTAGGGCAATACCTGATTATATTTTTGTTGTATAAATTCTTTTGGTAAATTTTGGGATTCCAATTGTGTCAATCTGTGGATCTGTATCAGTTTTCTGTTGTTGTTTCCTTCCCCTGTATCCAGGTTTCTTTATTTCTTTTCTTTCTGTCTTCCTTTCTTCCCTGCTCCTTTCCTCCCTTCTTTATTCCTTTTTTCTTTCTTTCTTTTGGTTACTGGACTATTTCAGAGGTTGTGGGGTTCTCTTTACCTGCTCATAATTACATAATTGTAAGTTTCCTAGAGGCCCGGGGGACAAAAATTTGTGCACTCGGGGGGGGGGGGGGGGTCCGCCTCAGCCCGGCCTGTGCCCTCTTGCAGTCTGGGACCCCTCGGGCATTCCCACCTGCTGGCTTAGGCTGCTCCCCGGACATCCCTCTGGCAGCCCGGGAGCCCTCAGGGGATGTCCACTTGACAGTGGGGAGCAGGCCTAAGCTGCAGTCAGACATCCTTAGCGCTGCTGAGGAGGCGGGAGAGGCTCCCACCACCACCGCTGTACTGGCAGCCATCAGCCTGGCTTGTGGCTGAGCAGAGTTCCCCCATGTGGGAGCGCACTGACCACCAGAGGGCAGCTCCTGCATTGAGCGTCTGCCCCCTGGTGGTCAGTGTGTGTCATTGTGACCAGTCATTCCCAGTCGTTCTGCTGTTAGGGTCAGTTTGCATATTACCCTTTTATTATTATAAGTTTATACTGTCAGAATTAGAGGCCTCTCTCATGGAAATGATTAAATGAGGCATTGGCTGTGCACCAGGAATGCCATGGGTATTTCCCTATCATTTTGAAGGTCTGAATCTTTTTGGATGACATAGGCATAGGCAGTAGTAGCGGCATAGGCATTTTGTAGGGTCATAGTGAGCCATCTGCTTTTAGGAGTTTGACCTCAGCATGCTACATAGTAACTGCTCCTCTAAAGTTATAATTATGAGCGGGGTAAAGAGAACCATTGCTCCCAGAGCAAGAATCATTTTCCTAAGCCTTATATCAGACATGGTTTATGCTGGACTCAAGACACACAAATAGGTCTGGGTCAGGACACAGTAACCAGGGCTACTTTAACATACACCTGACTCTAAATGTCAATTACAACTTTTGAGTTAGGTTAGTTAAGTCTATAACAAAGGCTTGTTAGGACTCAAGTAAACTCAGGTCAAAGTGGCTCAGCTCAAAGCAAAAAACCACCAGCAGTCAGCAGATCCAGTTACCAAGTCAAAGCAAGAGAAGAAAGACGCCTGTGGTAGTAGTCATAGTCTAAACCAGCGGTTCTCAACCTGTGGGTCGCAACCCCTTTGGGGATCGAACGACCCTTTCAAAGGGGTCGCCTAAGACCATCGGGAAACACATATATAATTACATATTGTTTTTGTGATTAATCACTATGCTTTAATCATGTTCAATTTGTAACAATGAATTTGGGGGTCACCACAACATGAGGAACTGTATTAAAGGGTCGCAGCATTAGGAAGGTTGAGAACCACTGGTAAACATTCTGCTCACAGTGCCAGTTGTTGTGGCCACACCATCATAAAAGCTCCAAGTCAATCTCCTTTCTTGTCTCTTGGTAGCCATTTTCAGACTTGGAACACATGCAACTCTCCCCAAAAAGCCTCATTATGTAAGTAATGAACATTTTTATTCTCTCTTCGTGTGTGTGTGTGTGAAATCATCAAACTGTGTGTGTGTGTGTGAAATCATCAGACTTGATGTCTGAACCACAATTTTGGTGGGTCCTTCCTTTTTCTGCATAATGACAACAGAATGTGCATTTCAAACAAGCTCTCAGAATGTGCATTTTAAACAAGCTCTCAGGTAAGGTCAGTGGCAAGATTCTAGAGTCCTTTTATTGATTCTAGAGTCCTTTTATCGTTTGAGGACTTAAGATACTGAATAACTTTATATTTTTAATGGTAAGTATGAATCATATAATTTTTAGTGCAACTATAAAAGAAATAGCCAAAATCATTTAATAAAAATAAAATAGAGGAGTAAAAATAGCATATAAAAAGCAAGTTTGCCAAACCGGTTTGGTTCAGTGGATAGAGCGTCGGCCTGCAGACTGAAAAGTCCCAGGTTCGATTCCGGTCAAGGGCATGTACCTTGGTTGCGGGCACATCCCCAGTGGGAGGTGTGCAGGAGGCAGCTGGTCGATGTTTCTCTCTCATCGATGTTTCTAACTCTCTATCTCTCTCCCTTCCTCTCTGTAAAAAATCAATAAAATATATTTTTTAAAAAAAAAGCAAGTTAAGTAGAAATAAAAGAGTAAAATGTATCAAATATATCCAAATATAACAAATCTAAATATATAAACGTCCATAGTTAACATAAATGGATTAAACTTGACAGGTGAAAGATAGTCGTTTATATGTTATTTTTGAAGACCTAGAAATGTGAGGACAAAAAGTAAAAGTTTGGAAATGATATACAAGCATACTAACCAAAAAGAATAAAAGCTAAGTTTTCAGAAAAATGTATCTCTGATAAAAATAATTTTTTGGTATAGAATATAAACAGGAGATATATATGTGTGTATATATATATGCATAATATAATTAAAACAGGTTTAATTCACTGGGATTTATAATAATAAATTTCTGTATACTTAATAAAATAATCCTGATGAAAAGGACTAAAAAGAACTCTTGATATATATAGTGGGTGGCAATGTAAATTGGCACAATTGACTTTGGAGGGCAACATGACTTTATGTTTAGAGTTTAACAGTCTCATAATCTGATTGTTACATTCATGTGAATGAGTGAGTCTAATTATATGCCCTAAAAAAGTCTTGTACATGCGCAAGAATATTTGTAGTATTATTATTGTTTGCAATAGCAAAAAAGCTAAAAATGTCCTAAATTTTCATCAACAGAAAAGTACATAAATTGTGGTATATTCATGCAATGGAATATTATGTAGCAGCAAAAACAAATGAATTTCAGCTATACATAAAAATAGTATTTTGTGAAAAATTCAAAGCACTGACGATTACATGTATATATCTCAGAAATAAACTAAAGCAAACATTGTTTAGGGGCAGATACATATTTGAAAAACTATTATATGTTTAAAAATCAAGAAAAAATGCATCCTAAGATCAGTATAATGGTTACCTCTGGTGGCGGGAGGGTTAGAGAGGAGAGGAACACTTAGGGAGATGCTGACACATTTATTATGCTCTTATTGTTAGTGTGTGTTGTGGATTAATCAACATTCTTTTTACTATTATGTTTAACAAATGCATGTTACTTATATTCTCTTATATGGGTCAGTTATTGTATTATGACATTTTTAATTTATAAATATATGGGTCATGTCCCATGCTTAACATATAGCAAACAAAAAATTCTAGGTTTCGCTGTTGTTATAAATAGAGATAAAATCTTCAGACAATTAAATTTAATAATCGCCTACATTTCGAGAAAAATTCGCCTTTACTCGTGGGAGAGTCCAGAGCAGCACGCGGGGAACCTGTTGGAGTTGTGGGAAGAATGATAATGAGATGAAGGGGTAGGTGAAAGGATTCTGAAAGGGAAAGCTGAGGGGTCCTGGAGGCAAAGGGTGTAACACTTTCCAGCCATGGCTGCTGTATAACACCACTCCCATGAAATGTTCAAATAACTTCGGGAAATTCTAAACTCTACATTTAGCATTGACGCTTTGCCCATTTCCTTATTCACAATGTACACTAAGCTTTTATGAACAAGGCCCCTTAACACTTGTGAGAAACTGTACTAATTGGCAAACAAAAAATGAAAACCCATTTGGCTTTATTTAACTGAGTCTTGCTCAGTTTGACCCTGGCACTCTTTTTCCTTCTATAACAACAACTCACAATTCATAGGACTGATTTTCTTTTAGCTTTGGTATTGAGAAAGTCTGGTTTATGAAATTAACCTAAAGCCAGTAGAGATGTAGGGCTATGTGCCAGCCAGAGATCGGAGGGGAGATGACTTGGCTTCACCTGGGAAAGATTGTAAAAATTTAAACTTTGAGCCCTAACCGGTTTGGCTCAGTAGATAGAGCATCAGCCTGTGGACTGAAAGGTCCCAGGTTCGAGTCCAGTCAAGGGCATGTACCTTGGTTGCGGGCATATCCCCAGTAGGAGGTGTGCAGGAGGCCGCTGATCGATGTTTCTCTCTATCCCTCTCCCTTCCTCTCTGTAAAAAAATAAAATAAATCAATAAAATATATTTTTAAAAATTTAAACTTTGAAAGTTAAATCAGGTGTTGGCATAGTTTTCATAAGTTGGTTGACATATTAAAATTCCTCTTTATACCTGTATTTGCCCTTGGGGTAATTTGGATTTACTGCATGCTTCTAAGGGAATCATGTGTGTGCATGGTTGGTATGTGTGTGTGCACATGTGAGTGTGAATGTGTACCATTAGTTTTTCTGCTGAGTGAACTGACAGTAATATGTAGCCAACCATATCCTTTGTAAGCCTGAATTTTGGAATCTATGTTACTAAGGGGTTTGATGACCTGGAACAAACCGTTCAGCTGGTCAAGGATTCGGAAGAATGTAAGTGAAGAAACCAAAAGAAGACTCATACTTTCTGTGATGTGTGGTAAATGGAACATTTTAAGCTACTAATTTAAACTTCTGTGTTTTGGCCATGTAATGCTTCATTAAAAGTCATTCGAGGCTTCTTCTAACCTACTTTGCAATTGTTAGCTTTTTGTGTGCTATATATTTGTATGACGTAAGGTTGGAGGAACAACTGCTTCAAACCAAACAGTGATTTTTTAAAAAAACACACAGAAATTGCCTAAAATATTTCTGTCTTTCAATGCCCTGGGTCATGGTGTTCTATTAAGTGAGATCAGGCATGATACAGGCAACTTCCAATTTTTTTTCTTTTCCACTTTTTTCAGCCCTAGATTCTAATAGAAACAGTTATTAATATTTAGTCAATTATATACTATACTATGTTAAAAGCTTAGTGCTGAAGCATTATTTATATCACTGTAAGGAAGTTAGGAATTTGGGCAAAATATATGCTCTATAATAATAGAACTGAAGGATGTGAATGAATAAACCTAATTAATATTCCTTGATAATTTATTCCCCCCCAAATTACTGTAAAGACCTTTAGATATGTGCTGGTATAAACATTTTCTAAACTATATTCTCTAACTGTACATTGCTTAGCTGGTATAAGTATTCTGTATACCAGAAATGTGAAGTAGTGAACATTTAGTTCGGAGAGCAATATATAACAGTAATTAGAGAGATTTTTACACTTTAAATTCTGTGAAAAAGGGAAAAAAAGGATTGAGAAGGACTCTATCAGACAATTGAAAGGCAAATTATATATAACAAACTGTTCCAATGTTAATTTTAAGTTCCCTTCCATCACCATGAAACAAGCTATGCCCAACTGAAGTGATTGCCTCTGTTTACATTAAGAATGTAGACTGATTCACTCTGGTTATAGTTTTGGTTTATATTTTTATTTTGTTCTTGTTATTCAGGTTCTGCCAGTCCTGTTCTGTGTGTCCTGGGCTGGTCTCGGCTACAAGCCTCTTGGGTCTCTTTCCATTAGTACAGCAGTCTTGCACCAATTGGAGTTCTCTAAGTGCAGGGTGAATAATTGTTGACTACAAATGCTGGGATTGTCAGGTTTTGTTAAAAACTTGTTCACCAAAAAACTCTCATTTTTAGTTTCTGAATTTCCTCAAAGTTTATTATATAAAGTTTATTTATTTTTATCAATAGGAAAAAAATTGCTTTCTTCATCCCACTCTGCTTAAGCATTAATTATTCAGAAATTGCTTTTTTTCTACTTGTTCCACATAGCACTGTTTGATATAAGTGCTCTGCGTATTCCACTTGTTCAGAATTCTGTATTCTGCCTGGAATATTGCTCTTTTTTTGCTGGGAAAATTAACTTCATTATTGACATTGACGTCTGAGCTGAAAATAGATCGCCCTTAACCATGACACTTCCTGGTTAACATCATTGAATATCTCCCACTGGCTATTTATAATCCTTTTGCATCCAGTATGACACAGGCTACCCCTTCACCTTTATTGTCTAATCTAGTCCTCATACCACATAAAACGAGGTCCATATGAATACCATTTTCAATTTAAGGAAACTGAAACAAAGAAATATTATGTCATTTGCTTGAGTTCCCACAATTGATAAATGTCAGATCCTAGATTCTACTCCTACAGATATTCTGGCTCCAAAGTCTAACTTCCCACCCTAGCATGTTGAACTTGTGATTGTACTACTGTCCAGCTCAGCTATGTTGTGTTCATTTCCATGACACTATATTTCTGTTTTACCAAAAAACATCTCAGCAAGGTAAATGTCATTGTTCTGGGCATTTAAGCTCTTATATTTAGAGGAGCTTCCTCTCTCCTTCTCTCCCTCATCCTCTCTCTTTTTTTCTCTCTCCCCCTACTCTCCCACCCTTTCTCCCTCTTTCAAAGATTTGCTTTTATTTTGATAAATAAGAGCAATGAGTCAACACCACATATATTTTAAGAGAGAACCACATATTTGAGTTAGATTTGAAGGATGACTGATATGTTTCCTGGTGAAGAGAGAAGAGATAAATTGGCCAGGTGAAGGGAGTAACCTGTAAAGGCATTGGCATATGAAAGCACCTGAAACATTCAGACATACAAAAAGTACCTAAATCCCGAAGCTTCTTAAAAGCATTTGTCAGATTTTCAGTTGTAAAATATGAGTAATAATTAATTAAGTATAGAGGAAATACCATTGTGAGAAATTGACATGAAGCCTAGAAGATTAATTGATTTTAGTTAAAACAGACATGCATACTACCTTCATTTTGAAACTAAAAGTTATAATAATTCAAGTCCTGGGGTTCTGATACAACTGGATTTTAGCTGAAGTATATTAAGCAAGAGATAAATATAATTATTTCTTGGAATTTATATTCAATTGTCTATTGGAAGCCAGAATGTATACGGACATCCTCTTTAAAACTTAACCTCCAGAAGTTGTTTTAAAATATCCTCAAGTGATGACTGCCTAGTAGTTTTCTTTTTTTTAAATCTCCAGAACTTCCCTTTATATATTGTTACAGGTTAATCATTTTATAATACATATATTCCTCTACATTTCTAATTAAATTCAACGTCCCCTGAGAAGGGTCACACTAGCATCGACAGTGCTTTACTGTATACTAGAGTCCTGGTGCACAAAATTTGTGCACCGGTAGGGTCCCTAGGCCTGACCGGTGATCAGGGCTGATCAGGGCCTTCCAGCTGCAGGCCAGGGCCTTCCTTTATTCCCCACCATCTCCTGGTAGTCAGCGCATGTCATAGCGAGCGATCGAACTCCTGGTCTCCTGGTCGAACTCCCGAGGGGACACTTTGCATATTTGCCTTTTACATATATAGATTAGAAACTTTACTTCTTTCTCCTAGAGCACACATAGTGGCTTGTAGAATGGTGCCTGAGCTAGGGTTCAGCTCCAACATCTTTAGCTAGACATACCTGTTCAGGAAAAAACATGCACAAGCATTCTTACTTGGGGAATTTGTTAAAATACAGATTACTGGCTGTGCATGAGGCCTTTTGATTCGGAATCTCTGACAGTTAAAACCTTTATTTACTTATCCAGGGATGCTTTGGAATCAGAATCATACTTGACCAGAAATCACTTATCTTTATAGAAACAAAAATAAAAAAAGTCCCTTCCTTCCTTCCTCCCTTCCTCCCTTTCTCCCTTTCTCCCTTTTTCCCTTTCTCCCTTCCTCCTTTCCTCCCTTTCTCCCTTCCTTTCAGTAAATATCTACTGAGTAGCTAACATGTGCTATACCCAGTACTAGTCTTTGGGGATATAAAAATAAGTAAAAGTAAATATCTACTGAGTAGCTAACATGTGCTATACCCAGTACTAGTCTTTGGGGATATAAAAATAAGTAAAAGATAACCTCTGTACTAAAAAAGCCCATTGTCCATAGGTGGGTGCATACAAGGTAATCCACCATTGTGCTGTGGTAAAACTTATTAAAAAGCTAGATCAAATGTCATTAAATTAGGTAATGCAGTAAAGTTACAGTACTGAGTGAAGAGAGTAAAGTTAGAGTCTGGATCATCCTAAGGTAGAACCTGTAAGGTTAATAATAATTTCAACAACAATAACATTTATAATAAAGAGCAGTTACGTAGTACACAGAATACAATTGTTCTAAGGTACCTGGTGTGTGCATGAGTGTGTGTGTGTGTGTATTTAATCCTCAAGAGCACCTTGTTAATGCCCATTTTATAGCTAAGAAAACTGAAGCATAGAGAGATTTTTGCTGAGGTTTCACTGCTAGAAAGTGACAGGACCAAGATTAAATCAAGCTATTAAGCACTGACTCTAGAATCAATGCTCTCAAATGGTGGAGGGTGTGAGGAATAAGGAGTGCATGGAGACTGTCAGGTCTTTAACTTGAGAAACTGGGTAGATGGCAATGCTGTTCACTACAGAGGGACTATGTGGCGAGAGGTAGTGAAGGAGAAAGACAACAAACTTAGTTTGGTAAATATTAATTTTGAGTTTGTATAATTATGGATATATTCCACAAGTTCGCAGGAATATGGGTCTGGAGGTCAGGGGAAATATGTAGGCTGAATAAGAGAAGAGGGAGAACAAGATTAGGTGGAATTTTAGAGGGAATTCTAGACAAGATCCTCCTTTAAACAGAGGGAGGCTATTCTCCAGAGTAAAAAACCCAATTATTCAAACTCATGAAAACCCAACTCCCTGTCATTTTAGTATTTCTGAATTGTATCATTACTACTACTTATGATAATGTGTTCTATATCTACAATATTTATAGTGCTTACACACAATCTCATTGGATCTTCATGCTACTCCTTGGAGAGAGATAAGACAAACAGCAGGAATTGAGATTTAGTTAAATTTTGTGATTTGCTGAGAATCACACATATGTCTGAACTTGGACTCAAACCTTTGGCTTCAGTCTTTGTACTCTTTGGCACCACTCTTAGTACTCTTTCATCACAATAAACCTTTCCTATATTTCAGGGAATCCGTTCTATTTGTTGCTTCTTGTAGTGTGTTAGTCATCTCGGGTACCTAGCATCTGATCATTTTCAAGGGACAAAAATTTAGCTGAAAGAGGACTTTTTAAGAAATATTTTACATATTTAGAGCCATCACTAAATTATAATCAGCATTTAATGAAGTTATATTTGTAATAACTGTCCATCCTTCCTATTTAAAGTTTAGGAAATATAGAAGCACACTACTATTTTAAGGTTCTGAATGAATACTAAAACATGTATATCTACCTCCTAACCACAGATGGGAAAAGAACTTTTTCCCCTCTGAAGTTCTCCATTTAGAGTAGATTGCCAAAGTTTTAAAAATGATCCATAATGCCCTATTCCAGCTGGTCCCTCACTGTTGTTATGGCTTGTTTCTTAGTGTCCTGGTGTGTGTGTGTGTGTGTGTGTGTTTGTTGTTGTTGTTGCCATTCCTTAACCCCACCACATACATTCTTCCCTCAGAGTCTTTACACTTTCT